TTTTCAATACAGGAGTTACCAGTATAAAATGTAGAGTCTTCTTTAACTACACCAATCATTCTCTGGTGTGAACTTTCTGGATCTTTCATAGTTGTGATCTTCTTTATCGTTTCTTTCATGTTAGTGTATGTTAAGTCGCCACACATAGTAATGGCAACAGAATACTTGTAATCACTAACATTACAACTTCTAAGTAATTCATACGCTAGAACAGGTTGTGGAAGCTTAATATCATGCTCTTCCATTCGTTTTACAACTTTTTCGAATGACGAAATAAACTCCTTGACATCTTGGCTTCCTTCCCGACTTAACTTTCTGAACATGTCATAAGTCTTGAACTTTTCCTTAGCCAAATCTTCAAGATAAATTCCATCAAGGACCTCCAGGAGGCAGTCTAATCCCGATGTCTTTACTTCAGCACCTTCTACTGTGTCTGTTCTGCCATTTTGTAATACTTCAAGTGGAACTTCCACTGCCTCAGACTTAGCCTTCTGAGGTAACATAAAAACAATACATCCTGCTTGACGCTTTTCTTCGATCAATGTGGTTGCCGACCACAATTTCACTTCTTTCTTGAACAAAAGATAAGAATCTCCTAACTTAGGGATAGGTGGTCCACTACTGTTCACTTGATTTTCCGACATTTCCTGCTATCACTTTTAATTCAATAAAGTGAGACAGTAACACTAGTGGATGATAGAAACATAAACTTCAAACGAGGAATACAAATCAAGTCAGACAAAGCCTCCTGGAGTTTCTGCCATCCTGTAAATGGTATATAAGATTAACAGAGACTATGTGTATCTACAAATCTTTCGAGGTTGTTTTTACAAGAGACAGGGCTTGCTACGCAAGGGAAGAAAACCGGGAGAAACAAACACAAATTATACAAATAAATATTATAAAACCTAGCAAAAAGAAATTCAACTATCCTACACTACTACAAATGTTTATTACATACTACAATGTAATACACGATAAATAAATGCTGTATAATCAAGAAACAGGGCTTGCAGGGCAAGGGACGGAACACAGGGACTGGCTACAGAGTGTATAAAACAGTGATTCAGCAAGTACCAATGAAACTAATAAATCAATGAAACTAATAAATCAATGTTTTAGCTCATTTTACAAAGTCAAATATTTAAAACAATTAAAATTGTATAGTGCTCAATTTGTAAATGACTAGTTGATCTTTGCTATTGGAAGTTTGTCAAGGACTGGCAGCTAGCGGGGCAAGGAATGCACGGGCTTAGGGGCTTTTGTGCACACCAGAACACTAGCTCGGTAGATTTTTGGAAACTAGAAGGACTGAAAACTAAAATTGTTTTTGATGGAGGCTGAGGCATGTTTTTGAGAGGGACGGTATAATAGCTTGTGGTAACAACTGGCCTTTACTTTAATAGGATGAAGTTTTAGTTTTAGGACAGGAATAAGGCATTAAGAAGATTTGCTCTTTGTTTACAAGGCAGAATATAAGCGATGTTGGTTATAATATGTATCAATATCTAGATCTTCGTTTATCAATTTTCACTAAATGGGTTTAAAATTTTAATAGGGAGGGAAATTCATCAACTTTATTAAGTACCTATCAAAAATAAATCTTATATCAATGTAATATATTAAAAATCATAATCCTAAGTCTAATAATAAATCTGTTAAGAACACTTTCTCACTACACTGCGCTCACACACGTTAGTAAGACAAAGGAAAATGCACACCCAGCTAATTTTCAATTTCAAGATAATCATTTTGGATGTGTGGACCCTAGGGTAGACTTAATGTCAAAATTTAGATTAGAGCATTCGAAATCTTTGTTTGTCCAATCAAGATCAGCATGGTTATGCTGGTTGACGAGCAGTGATTGCTTCATCCTAGACTTCAGGCAGGCCACACTTAGACAGTAGTCACGTATACCAAGCTTAGGCACAATTACGTTCCAAATACGAGTCGTTCTGCTATTGAAGTTGTCAGGGGGGTCTGCTTGGCTTAGTATAAGGGTGGGTTTCCTACTTGAGCAGGTGAAATTTTCATGGAGGGAAATCGGAGCACGGAATTTCATGATTTTATAGAGCTCAAGGAAACAATGGTAAGTGTACAGGTTTTGGACGGCAAGTATTCCTTGTTCCTTGAACAAAGGTTTCGTGTGCTCTTTCAAAAAAAATTTTTTGTTCAGATTTTGGTTGCCAAACGGTCGAGCACGAGCACAGGTCTTAAATTTATCTAGGTATGCCTCCCTGTCGCCAAACAGCACCCTGAGACAATATTTTTGTGCTTTGAATACAGAACTTATACGAGTTTTGGCTGCCCCACCCCAAACCGTGATACAATAGGAGAGGTGTGATTCAAATAGAGTGTAATACAACTGGCGGTGTAAGAAATCTGGGAGGGAGCAGCGTAGGCGGCAGAGAGTTGATGTTGCATGGCTGAGAGAACGCCTAAGTGATTTTATATGTTCTTCCCAGGTTAGCTTTTCATCGATGACGACTCCCAGAAACTTAGCAGATGCAACTTGTTTTATTGGAAAGTTATCAATGGTTAGAGTATATTCAGAATTATTGTCAGTCTGGGAGGACGATGCTGGTTTAAAGTGAATGAAACAGCATTTAGACAAGTTGACATGGAGTTTGTTTGCTCGCATGTAGGAATATAAACTAGCTAAAAGAGAATTACCACGCATATATGCCTCCTTTTTAGATTTCCCAGTCACAAATATATTGGTGTCATCAGCGAAGGTGACAAATGATCCCAAACTGGAGCTGTTGGCGATATCATTAATATATAGGAGAAATAAGAGAGGTCCAAGAATCGAACCCTGAGGGACTCCAAACTGTATTTTCAAGGCGTCAGATTTCTCACCAACAACTTCAGTATATTGTGATCTATTTGTTAAGTAACTTTTTATAAGATCATTTGCCACCCCACGTATCCCATAGCCCTGTAATTTGACAAGTAATGTACCATGATCTATTGTATCAAAAGCTTTGCTAAGGTCTATGAATATGCCTAAGACATGATGCTTAAGTTTTAGAGATTCAGTTATAAGGTTTACTGAGTGATTAACTGCATGTGAAGTAGAGTGTGACTGCCTGAAGCCAAATTGTGTTTTAGATATTATACCCTGTGAGCTAGCAAACGAATATATTCTTGAGTAAATGATCTTTTCAAAGATACCCATTGGGTATTGCTGAATCTGACCCACAAAATACCACAATCAATACAAGAATATACAATATTTAAACAAACATCATGTTTATACAAGAATCAGGGCATGCAGAGCAAGAGAAGAAGAATTAGAGAAAAACTCCAACACATGTATACCCCTTAGTCCAGTAAATAACAATAATTACTTGTACACAAAGCTGTATTTAATATAAAATACATAACAAATACACAGTCTACCCAATATACGAGTTAAAAATTGTATAAACAAGAGACAGGGCTTGCATAGCAAGGGAAGAGATATAAGAGGACCAGGTAAAAAGAGTTTATTATGTAGTATCCAGTGAAGAATAAACTAAATATAGAGTATCTACAGTGTATTATACTCTCAATAATATCATATGTCTAAGACCATCCTGAGAATTCTGGCTGATCCAAGCAGAGCTGTCTTCTGGAGATTAGAGATGCTCAGATTGCAGTGGACTGCATCGAGGTGTTTACGAAAGTTAATGGTGATAGTTCCTAATGTGCTTATCACCACAGGGACGATTGTGACCTTTCGTAAATTCCAGTTCTTCTTAATTTCTCTTTTTAGGTCTTGATATTTCAGTATCTTTTCTTGTTCTCTATCCAGGATCCGGGTATCTCCTGGGACTGCAACGTCAATGATGGTTGCTGCGTTGGTTACCTTGTCTACCAGGAGGAGATCCGGTCTGCAGTGTTCGATAACGTGGTCCGACTGGACATGGAAGTCCCACAATATCTTGACTTTTTCGTTCTCCAGCACCTTCTCTGCCCGGTGTTCGTACCACCTTTTACTGCGTGGGAAGCCGTATTCCTTGCACAGACTCCAGTGCAATGCGGCAGCTACTTTGTCATGCCGACACTTATATTCTGTCTGTGAAAGTTTTGGGCACCCATTCAGTATGTGGTCTATTGTCTCGTAATGGTTTCTGCAGAGTCTGCAGAGGGGAGAAGAGCCAGGTGTTTTGTCAATCCTGTGCTTCACATAATTCGTCCTAAGTGCTTGGTCTTGGGCTGCTATCAACAATCCTTCTGTCTCCTTCTTCAAGTCTTGTTGAGTGAGCCAGTTCCAAGAGGTTAACGGGTCCGCTATACCCATCATCTGCCTTGGGAACTGTCCGTGCATTATTATTATTATTATTTAGGTCCAGTTCGTCAACAGGTATTGCTTTCTGATAATACCGTCCTCTGTGTCCTCTCACTGGAATCAATACTGTCTTAAGTAGCTCAAACCGCAAACGACGTCTTAGATTTGCCATAATGAGGCTTTTGTCCTGGCTGCCAGATGTGTTGCCACTCGTTTACGGAACATTGTAGCCTGTGGGCCCATACCTCCAGTGGTCGAGAATACAAGGCCATTGCAGGTTCCTTTTTCAATCTGTACACAGCGGTCTCCATATTTCCTTTATTTCTCTCTGTCATGCTTACTGTACATCTTTGCTGGGGTGTTGTGATTAGCGTTGGATTTGGCTCCGGGGTGTAAAACCCTAATATCAAAAAATGCCATCTCCATTGGTGACCACAGACCTCTAGCTGCTATGTCGAGCCTTGCCCCATCATCCAGGATGGTACCAGGACGAAGGCTTTCTCCAGTGCACGGCTGGAGTGTAGCCTCTAAAACAACCTCATTACAGATTTTTCAAGAATGCTTGCAACAGTGTTTCTCAGTCGGTTGTGTCTGCTGTTGACAAAGCCTCCTTTCTTGCAAATAAGAATGTGGTTATAGGTGTTATCTTAGCTTGAAACACTATAATATTTCTCCTTTCTTGCAAATAAGAATGTGGTTGTAGGTGTTATCTTTGCTTGAAACAATATAATATTTCAACATTATAAAAACCATTTTTCTTGTAGCAAATGGAATTTGAGAACTAATGGATTCATCTTTGGAGTCAGATGAACTCAGTGGTGACCTGAGTGCTTCTCGTCACATAGAGATCCCATCATCATCAAGAAGCAGGTATGTCTTCTTTGGGTTTCTAGTATTATATTAAGTAAAATACAATTTAAGTAAAATACAATTTTTGTTTTCCACAGAAGAATCAATACATATTGAATTATAAATATCCGATAATTCATTATTATTATATATCTGTGAATAAACTAAACTCAGATTAATCGCACGCGCAGGGTATTATTTGATACTTTCATTCATAAATCAAAATCTGTATAAACAGTAATCTCAGATTATCTTGGTTGTTGTCTTACGTAATACAACATTTTCTTTTTTACCCTCTAGAATAATAACAATTTGACAATATTTTAATTTAAATTCCACTCAATTTCACTCTGATAGTGATAAAATTTAGGAATGGATCGGGTATCCGGCTGCTAAAATAGTAGTTGGGAAGGCCAAGGTGCTTGGCCGGATATCATAACAATGATTTCGGCTCATAATGGGGATGGGGGGGGTTTGAGTCTTGATTGCGGGTGATTACAGCGGGGGGAGGGGGGTAAAAATTGCTAAAATGTTGATTATGTAATATGTGAACGACCCCTTACAGACAGAGCTGTTGCTGCAATTTTAACAATTTAAAAACTTGTTTAGCTTCCTAACAGTTTTGTCGACATAATACCAATTAATTATCCAGTACTTTCAGTAAAGATATATATGCTGTAGGATGCATATTTACCAATAATAATGGGAAAAAATAAAGTGTTCTCTAATTCCAATTTTAGTCTCCTTATAATGCACCGTTATTATCTATCTATCTATATTCTATATCTGCTAGTTCAACCATACATGTTTCAGTCACACTACTCACCAATTTCCTCTACAGTACGAGAGACGCTAAAAGACAGTTACGAATCGTAGAGTCAACAGAGACGATCAGAAGTACTCTATCACCCGAGCTATGTAGCAGCTTGTCATTTGGGCCTTTGTCCTCCACTCACGATCAGACATGCTTCCTACAAGAGGTTTTCCCGTTCCTGTCCGTGCAGAATGATGACGAATTTAACTCGGAGAAGCCTCTTAACTTCAATAGCCTGGACCTACGCTTGAAGCAGTCCATCTCTATTCCATCCTCAGTTGATCAGTACAAAGATAACGTAGTTGACATGAAAAAAAGGGCTGAAGTGGACGGTGTCTTGGGGCCTGCTGTCGTTAGAATGGACCCTGGCAGGTCAATGGGCTACTTTGTGTACAGTCAAGATAAACTGGATATTGAAGGGAAGTCTAATTTCAGCACTTGTTGTGCCAACACTGCGCTCACCAAGGGAAGGTGGATGTATGAAGTCCTCCTGTTAAGCCGCGGAATCATGCAGTTAGGTTGGACCACGCCTAGCAGCTTTGCTAACTTCACTACACAGGAGGGTGTGGGAGATACTGAGAACTCTTTTGCATTCGACGGAAAGCGAATCAAGAAGTGGAACAAAGGCGCGCACGATTACGGAGAAGAGTGGAACGTGGGGGATGTTATTGGGTGCGCTATTGATCTGGACGTGGGTGAAGTGTCATACTATCGGAATGGGGTGTCGCTTGGTGTTGCTTTCTCCAATGTCAAAACAGGCACCAACTATGCCTACTTCCCTGCAGTGTCTCTATCCTTCGAGGAGCACATCAGGATCAACTTTGGAGATCGACCATTTAACTACAAAATCGATGAATTTGAACCTATACAGGCATATCCTGCTGAAGAGTTGTACTGTGTTGATCAGTACCTCGTTTCAATAAACAATATCCTGAAAATTCACCTCAACTCTGCCAAACAGAGCAACTTATATTTCAATCAAATAAGCATGGCACACATATTTGATAAGATCGGCCATCTTCTTGGAAACCCTTACATAATCCACTCTCTCATAGTGCCTTTCATCACTGACAAATGTCAGCTTCCTGAAAAGAGGGCAAAGTTCTTTGAAGCTCTAACAACGTTTTTGGATGACTGGGAGTTGAATCATTTGGTGGACGAGCTGTTTCACACTGTTGCTCTCATCTCTTACTGCTGCATTTACTCCAACCAACCTACCCAGAAAATACAACTGCTCCAGTTGGCGATTGACATGTTGGCAGACCCCAAGTTTAGCGACATAATAGTCAACTCGCCGCTATTTGGGCACAGGTTCATGCTCTTCTTACACTTCAAAGGTCCAGATGGACAACTCCTCAGCTCTGTAGTTCCTCATGCTTGGTGGCCAGGTAATGAGGAACACAAGGAATCATTTGATAACGCCACAAAGAACATCTATGGAGCTATAAAACAAGTAGAAGCTATGTTCGCCAAGATGTTGGACATTCTGATTTCAGGGCGACATCTCAAGAAGTTTTTAGCTTACTTAAATGAATTCATCCAACAGATATTGGCAGTTGCAGTCTCTTTGTCAAACCTCCGGAACATACCTATCCATCAGCAAGCCTTCATGTCCAATCTTTTTCTCGCTATTTCAAGATCCCTCGCCGAAAACACAACACACTTGTCTGCCTCGAAAGTATTCATCAAACCAGCTTATTATACAACGAAGAACATGCAGTCAGACTTCTCAGACCTTCCAAGAGTAGGAGGCAACCACGGACATTTGAGAAAAGAGCACAAAGAGTACCTGTCTAACCTGGAACAGGGAGATGTAGATGACATGTCTCACATTCTCAACAATACTGCTCTTCTATTCCACCTTGGAGTTTACCGGAGACTTCTTTCTGCTGACCTCTTCTGTAGAGAAATGACAGACCACGCTGCACATCTGAAAGCAGTACAGGAGAAAATCAAGAATTGTCCTGTTGATGAGAAGGAAGTATTGGAGGATCTTAAACAGTGTGAAGCTGTGTTAGAGAAGGACACGATTACTACCAGCAGAATGACGGCCTGGATCAAGACAGTTATTCTCAGTGAGAATAGAATGAACGATATAATTTGGATGCTGAGGACATTGCTGAGGTCTGTTGATGTTGTGGAAGACGCTGCATTCTACTTCATGCCTGAGTTCTACATGATGGCTATCCTGAACATGTACAGGGCTCTGCAGGAGTGTTTTCCTCAGAAGGCTTTGATGAGACACCGCCAGGCACCAGCTCTCTTCAGAGAACTTGCTCATTTCTTTGCTAAACATATTTGCAATCCTCTCATCAAATCTATCGACGTGAAAGACCATATTCTTCAGTCCTCTGTGATCTTTGTGAACTATCCCCAAACACTCCAAGCTCTGGAACGCCTACCTGAGATAGACTGTGGTAACTTCATGAGTAGTATTGTGGCTAACTACAGCAAGGCTAACTACGTCCACCTCTCCAGGATGCTGATTAGGTTCTGGAAGGGGCACGGGTTTGCTTACCGGGACCCACCCGAGTACTATAACAAGAGACACGAGGTGTTGTTGCCTGGTGTACTTGCCGGCACTGCGATGTACATGAGTGTATATGAGATCGAGCCTAACCCATCAGTAAAATACCAGAACTTGTTTAGCACATTCCTCGCTCAGGGAGAAAATGGAGCTAAGTTCATCAACATCGTTTTTAACCAGCTCAACTCATGTCTCACCGAATTCATGAATTCTCGCAAAGACATTAGAAAGAACCACAATACCTATACCTCCCTGGTGGAGCGGAGTTGTTTGATGTGGTACGATCTCACGATAATACTTGTGAGGTTCCTGGAGATGATCTCGGCACTCTCTCCCCAGGTTATGATCGCTAATCCTGAGTCCATGGCTTATGATCCGACTCCTGAAATAAACATGGAGCGATTAGTCCAGCTTGTGATCCAAATCATGAGCAGGAACAAGCAGCTAGTCATGACAGAGGAGTTCTTCATCATTCAGAGATTCAGCACCATTGATATCTTGAAACTGAACTGCGCAGTTACTGGAATAGTCGTACATCTCCACAGAAATGCACCGCATTTGACGGATATCTTTTTAAAGAAGCTGATTTCAGAAAGAGGATTCGATATGCTCGTTTTCCAGAACTTTATCAAAGCCACTATATCAGTCGGGCAAAGAAGGTCACGATCAGATTTCGATTACATCACAGTAACAGAAATCCAAGAAGTTGAAAACCTTCTCAGTAAGATAGAAGAACTTCACAGATCGTTGATGGTTGAATCTAGGCAATCAACAATAGCAGAGGATGATTTGTGTCCAATCTGTTATGACAAATGCATATCGGCGGTCTTTAATCCATGTGGACATAAATCTTGCAGGGCATGTATAACCATGCACCTTTATAATTCTAAAGAATGCTTCTTCTGCAAAACTAACATTGATAACATTAGCGACCTGGGTGGTGCTATATCATGACGAAAACTGATCATAACGAGGAAAATGTCAAATTAGTGTTGAAATGTTGGGATTGTTATGCGATGTGGTGATAATGAGGAGATAAGACTGAATAGAGAGAAGATAAGACTGAACTGGGACTACAACACAGTACCCCACTGTGTACAGCTACTCAGCTGAATAATATGTTATTGATAAGTTGTTTAAATGTGCTTTAAGTTTTATAACTACAACATAATAACTTTTGAGGCCAGATTATAAAACATTCGATTCATTGTTTCCATTTGCCATCTTATGATCAACGCACCAGTTTTAGTTCGTTAAGAAAGAATTTGCGTTAGATATAATGTAATTACCTGTGTTAACCCTGTATATGCAATAGGAGCTTCATCTAACCGCAATATATGTTGGCTTTTTTGTTTGTTTAGACCTGTTTGAAGGTATTCGGTGACCTTTTCAAGACATAATGAGTACTGTACTATAATGAGGGTTTGTGAAAATATCGTTCCTTTTCCGCCATGGAGTTAACGTCAAAGATTTAAATTTTAGTAATACTTAATTTTACTTAATTTTTGGAGCAGGCTGCTGATAATTTTGTGTTAACATGTTCTATATTTGATTGCAGTACTGAAAATATTTTGTCAATCCTTGTCTTTTAAATTTCACATGACTTCCAATGTCATGCTTGCAATTAAAATATAATTATACAGCGGAAATAAAAGGATTCAAAATCATTCCACTAAAAAACTGATTTTATTTCAAAATCATTCCACTAAAAGATTAATTGTATTTCAACATCATTCCACTAAAATACTTATTGTATTTCCCTCACGCTCATTATCTGTGATACAGGTTGAATGAACTGCATGTGCTGCTCCCCAAGCTGTACGTGCGCCCAGTGGTGTTCATACCTCTACACAATCAGTGTCCAGCAACAACAAATGTCATGTACCTGTAACCCCACTCCAAATTATCACAACTATCCTAGTTACCCAGTACCAGACTACATCAACTACCACACCTCTCACCCAAACTACCCTCTCAATTGCACTCCTACAATACCTCAAAAAAGAACACCTCGACGGAATAAACGAAACAATTCCAAATTGTCAAATATATCAGAGAATAGTGAGAAAGATCAGAGTTCAACTGACGAACATATGGCCGAGGAACTGGCCAAATTCTTTAAACAAACATCAGAGCACAGGGTCAAAATGAAAGAGGATCGGAAGAACCTGTCACGGGTTCAGCTTGAGAAAGTGAACTTTGACATGAACGATCATTTAGACAGAGCGGGTAAGTTGAGTAAGTTATATGGTTCACATTATGTTGAGATCGCTAGTTTAGAGGCCAAGTTGAGTTTGCAGTATGAAACTTATTGCGATGAAAATCAACCTATTTTATGGCCTGTTTTGCCTTTGAAACTGTGATAACGATAAACCCTGCTACTCTAGTATAACGATAGTCTTTTCAGATTATTTGTTGTCCGTTTTAGAATATTTACTTGTACTTGTTTTAGAATATGACTTCATTTTTTATCTGGGATTTCATTGGTTTATTTCAATAATAACAATAATTTCAGCTATTCATATATAATTTGACCTTTATACATTGTGTATAATAAACATTATATCAGTTTTACGAAAACTAACGATCGATTTTATTTTCTCCGATGAACTCCTTTCGATCTGCCGAACAATTAAGCAACCGGTTTAACAATTACTGCACTGTTTTGGTCAATCGAGTGTAACGAAATGTTTAAAAAAAAGTTATTTTAACTTTAATGTGGCAATCTGGAGAAGTGTTCTCTGTCTGGCTCCTGTTATGTTGCCAGTAACACTGCACGTTTGATAGCACCTCCTGTAACACTTGTGATAGCACCTCCTGTAACACTTGTGATAGCACCTCCTGTAACACTTGTGATAGCACCTCCTGTAACACTGCACTTGTGATAGCACCTCCTGTAACACTGCACTTGTGATAGCACCTCTTGTAACACTTGTGATAGCACCTCCTGTAACACTTGTGATAGCACCTCCTGTAACACTTGTGATAGCACCTCCTATAACACTTGTGATAGCACCTCCTATAACACTTGTGAATTGTGATAGCACCTCCTGTAACACTTGTATAGCACCTCCTATAACACTTGTGATAGCACCTCCTGTAACACTTGTGATAGCACCTCCTGTAACACTGCACTTGTGATAGCACCTGTAACACTTGTGATAGCACCTCCTGTAACACTTGTGATAGCACCTCCTGTAACACTTGTGATAGCACCTCCTATAACACTTGTGAATTGTGATTGCACCTCCTGTAACACTTGTATAGCACCTCCTGTAACACTTGTGATAGCACCTCCTGTAACACTTGTGATAGCACCTCCTGTAACACTTGTGATAGCACTCCTGTAACACTTGTATAGCACCTCCTGTAACACTTGTGATAGCACTCCTGTAACACTTGTGATAGCACCCCCTGTAACACTTGTGATAGCACCCCCTGTACTTGTGTTGAAGTTATTAATAAAGTTTGGTAGTGTGTATTACATTTATTAATTACGTGTGTGGTGTATAATAGTGAGAGTGAAGCAGTGATAGGTAGACAATACACCGCTAATTAGACCTATCTGGATGTGTACAGCTGTGTGCACTGAGTGTGTGAGTAGTTGAGCTGGATGTGTGTATGTACAGCTGTGTGGACTGAGTGTGTGAGTAGTTGAACTGGATGTGTGTATGTACAGCTGTGTGCACTGGGTGTGTGAGTAGTTGAGCTGGATGTGTACAGCTGTGTGCACTGAGTGTGTGAGTAGTTGAGCTGGATGTGTGTATGTACAGCTGTGTGCACTGAGTGTGTGAGTAGTTGAGCTGGATGTGTGTATGTACAGCTGTGTGGACTGAGTGTGTGAGTAGTTGAGCTGGATGTGTACAGCTGTGTGCACTGAGTGTGTGAGTAGTTGAGCTGGATGTGTACAGCTGTGTGCACTGAGTGTGTGAGTAGTTGAGCTGGATGAGTGTATGTACAGCTGTGTGGACTGAGTGTGTGAGTAGTTGAGCTGGATGTGTGTATGTACAGCTGTGTGGACTGAGTGTGTGAGTAGTTAAGCTGGATGTGTGTATGTACAGCTGTGTGCACTGAGTGTGTGAGTAGTTGAGCTGGATGTGTCTATGTACAGCTGTGTGGACTGAGTGTGTGAGAAGTGCCCCCTTTGAGCGATATTATACATAGTTCATATTTACTGCGGGTGTATTGTGTAAGGCTGTATGTTGCACGTTAACATAAACTGTGACTGTATCAGTTTAAAACTAACATGTACTGAAGCTTTATATACTGGTGAGTATTGTACAGAGGAATGAAGAAATAGCAAGGGAAGCCACATTAAAGCTACAGGGAGTGTGTCCTTCACCCTACACCCTACACCCTACACCTTACACCCTACACCATACACTCTAAGTCTACACTCTAAGTGTACATCCTACACCCTACACCCTTCACCCTACATCCTTCACTCTACATCCTACATCCTACACCCTACACCCTACATCATTCACCCTACACCCTACATCCTACAGCCTACACCCTACATCCTTCACTCTACACCTTACATCCTACATCACACATCCTACACCCTACATCCTTCACCATAAACCCTGCATTCTACACCCTACATCTTACATCCTACATCCTTCACCCTCTCTGACAGGCATGTTGTTACTGTTACAGTTTCAGGGAGGAACTACCATATTCCGTTGCTAAATCCTTGTGAACATTTAAATCCAACGGAACCCTTAAATCGACCACTTTTCCCCTTACTATGTTCTAGGTGAAATCAAATTTCTATAGGCTGCTGTTAAAAAATGCCAGCCGTGACGAAATTGTCATTTTGTAAGGCATGTTTTTTAGAAAATTTCAAAGATGACAATTTTTATCGCCAAATTTAGGTTTTTCAATCAAATCAACCCCCGGGAAGAAAAATATACTTGTTGAACTACCTATCAGGATAATAAAACATTAACAAAACTCATTTTTGTGCATTTCAGAGCCATCTCCTTTTTACCGTCATTTTGTAAGACCCGTAACCATGTTAACTGATTTATATTAATAATATGAAAATGTTATCCAGTAGTCAGTACAATGTTACTGAACTGTCATCCCGCTAACAAGGTTACATTTACAGCTATTAAAATTAACACTATCCCAGAATAGCCCTTGACATGACTTATCAATTTAACAAGTTATGTTCGTTGTCATGGTAACGGTAAATAGATCTAATTAATATATATGCATGTTATTCAGTAGGTAGTCAGTACACATCCCAACCAGTAGTCATTACACATCTCAACCAGTAGTCAGTACACATCTCAACCAGTAGTCAGTACACATCTCAACCAGTAGTCAGTACACATCTCAACCAGTAGTCAGTACACATCTCAACCAGTAGTCAGTACACATCTCAACCAGTAGTCAGTACACATCTCAACCAGTAGTCAGTACACATCTCAACCAGTAGTCAGTACACATCTCGACCATTAGTCAGTACACAACATCGTGCAAGTTTCTTTAAATGCTCTCAATGTGTAAATCATGATTTATACTCTACTTCAATACATCTGATGTAGGAATGTGTACACTGTAAATCTGATGTAGGAATGTGTACACTGTACATCTGATGTACGAATGTGTACACTGTACATCTGATGTAGGAATGTGTACACTGTACATCTGATGTACGAATGTGTACACTGTTCATCTGATATACGAATGTGTACACTGTACATCTGATGTACGAATGTGTACACTGTACATCTGATGTAGGAAGCCCCCTGGATCGTATCCAGCTGTGATTAATAAAGCGTTCTCTTACATACTACTACTACTACATATCAGTAGGTTCGGTTGGTCTTACGCTTAGTCATACTTATGTTCGTGTCTTTGTTAGCTACGTTAGGTTTGCTAGCATGAACCCGTCTAACCCTAAAGTGGTGTCAAGACTCAAGAGACTAAAAGTAAAATAATTATTACCTATTTAATTCGCGTTTTTGACACCAAATTCCAAATTTTGGGCACTAACATTCTTATTCCTTGGCCTATTTTTTATTTATTTTTCATCCAGATTTGAAGGCCATTAAGTTAGTCAGCCACTACTGTCAGTAAAACAACGCGTTGACTTTAAATGTCAGTAAAATATACCTTTACACTCATCCTTGAAAATTATTTGTTATATAGTAGTGTTGAAAGTATTATAATATATATATATATATATTATATATCGTCTCGCTTTATATATAGTAACACTGTTATAGAGTTGTAATTTGTTATAATCCTACACAGTAGGAAAACAGGCAACACTGTACGACAAATGTATCCACGTATATAAACGTGCATTTATTTATGATACAACTTCCCTCACATAGTACTAGTAAGCTAGTAGTAGTAGTAGTAGTTCCCTCACAATCCTATACAGTATACAGAGGTTCTCAGAGTTAACCATTTTATATTGAGCTCTCTATTTTACTGCTCACGTACGGAGACAGATAGTTATATTTAAAGATCTCTTATAATACAGTACAGGAAACACTCTGTATATAATGTAGCCTATATGTTAGCGAATATAAAGGTTGCTATATTTACTGCTGTCTACACTCTGTATATAATGTAGCCTATATTATAGCCTATATTATTACACTCTGTATATAATGTAACAATATATAATATATTATATTGTTAGTCAGCCACAACTGTCAGTAAAACAACGCCTTGACTTCAAATGTCGGTAAAATTTACCTTTACAGTCATCCTCAATAAATGTAATAGATTTGTAGCGTTGTAATTAGTTTAAAACTATATATATATATACCCATACGTTGGGTCTTATAACTCCGCCGTCTTTTATATTTGAGAGTTGTTGCTTTGCAGATGGCATACTGTACCTACTTGTTTGAGGATTCCGTCGCCAAAATTTGAAAATTCGAATATTTTAGACCACGCCCATTCAATATTAAAACACCTATATTGTTCTTTGTGAACATGTTGGACGCCTAATTTTTTCTGAGACTGTAGATTATTACATTTTGCATCTGATCCAAAATAATAATGTGAAACAGATTAGAAATGACAAAGTTATCAAGCGATTTGTGTATCTCGTTAGCAAAATTGATTGGGTGATTTAAATGTGACACCGTGACATTCCCATAATGTTCAACGGGGTAGTTACCGGGGTCACCTTATCACGTGATTAGGTAAGCCAATCACCTGATCACACGTAATGAGTAAACTCGTTATGCTTCGTATCTCGGTCATCTGAGAAGCTGTAACTCTAATTTGGTCACGACAAACGTAATTCGAATGGCCAAACACAATTCAATAAAATTTAGCTCGATCCGACTATCCAAATTATCAAATTATTAAGAAACTGTTTACACCATTACATTAAAATATTCAAAACCCCTAAAAGAAATCCCCTAAATTATCAAATAAATGCGAAAATGAATCCTCATTGGAAAAAAATGAACACGAATATTTTTCGAGTTGACAAATTCCCCGAACCAGTGGTGGTACTAAGTTATACCAGAAAGAATATTTTCTAAAGGCCAACGTATGGGTACTGACTTTTGGCCCGCCCTGTATATATAAAGAGGTTATCACCTCTTTTAGCAGTTAGTTGCCATTACATATCCATTAGGTGGTACCAGCGTACTACCTACATTTAGGCTTAGCAGACTCGCTAATCTTATAAACATGCTGGTTCTTGATTCAGGTTGATGTGCGCTACTAAAGATTATATCGCGTTGCTATGGTGATTTGTAGGCCCCCTGAGAGTCTCATTGCAATTCAAGACGTGACTTTTCGTGAGTGTTGTAATGGATATTTCAACGGAGCTGTTCTTTTAAGTAGCGTCATCTGTTCCAAATCCTCAAGTTGTCGAGATTGTCAGATTACTGCTGGCAGTACACATTTCGTGTAATGAGTTTGTTAAACGTGTAAGAGCTGTAAAGATGGTGTTGTGTTTCAGAGCAGCCCTCTGACACCCTGTATACTAGTAGGGGGTACACGCTGTCACCCTGTTATACTGATTCAGTATAACAGGGTGACGTCATGTTTGTGCCTCCTGGCACTCAGCCACCTTTATTTTATATTATATAGTCAGTTTGAAATATAGCATAGATAGTTAGTTTTATAGTAAAGTTCTAAGACTGGGCCAGTATCATGGTACTGGTACTGGTTAGGATCATTATTTTGAATATTCAGCTTGTTAATAACCTTTAATTACTTGTTAATTACTTTGTCTCTGTAATATTTATAATGCTGCTCCTTCCCACTTTGTTTGTGTGCACTGCTAGCATGTATAATGACGTGTAATGTAATTAAGCGGACCGTCTCAAGTGCACTCTGGGTCAATTCGTGTTTTTCACTGGTCGGTTTAGCGCCGTGGCTTTTATTCTGTCAACAGAGTATTTTAAACAATTTAAATCTCTCCATGTTATTTTGTTATCTGTTTGCATGCTTATCGAGTACTCAAACATCTCTGACATTTTCTTGCTCCTGGTGCTTTAAATTGTTTAATTGCTAGACTTTGGATGAGAGTATATTTTTGTGTTGTTTCTTTCTCGCAACTTCATTCAAGTGTTTAATAAATGTTGATAGCTTCATAGCTTACTATCTCTAGAGAATATTCAATAATTTCGTGGTCAACTATTATACATAATATTTTAAATCGCTCTCGGCGAATATAATTACGAACGATTGCACAAATTTTTATTAATTATGACTAAGCACACTTTAAGAAAGTAAGAAGTTGAGAAATGAAGTGAGATGCCGAAAGTAGGACACACATCACTCTTCGACTACAAGAACCGGATAACGGACCTAGAAAGTGAAGTGAATACTCTGAAGCGGCGTCTAGATGAGCTACGGCGTGCTAAAGTGCAGGCGTTTTACAAGCAGAGACGTTCCTCTAAATCAGACATCCCAGAAGTGGAGCAGGTTCCCTGTATGGGCGTACTGGAACAGAGGATTACTCGACTACAGAACGAGTTGGAGTTAGCGGAGCTCAAATACGTGAGGGACACTAAGGAGCTGAAGGAGACGATAGAGCGGTTACAAGAGGAAATGAACTCTGTGAAGGAGAACCACCAAGAGATGTTAAACAAAATGAACGACAAACACTTGTACGAGATGGCGAAGTTAAAGCGGGGCCATACGGAGGAGTTGGCACTGTACTCAGAGAAAATAGAGCTGGAGAAAGAAGCTAGGGTGGGGGCGGAGAAGGAGCTGGTGGAGTATAAGTGTAGGATGAGGAGTGTCACTCTGCAGCTGCCTGATGTAGAGGTGCTCAAGAGTGAGCTGACTCGGCTCCAGGACGCTTACTACTCCCTCAAGCTGCAACATGAGAGTGAGGTTAGCAAGTTGGAGGAGAGAATAGCAGTGCTCATGTCTGACATTGCTGCTCACGGTGAGAAATCTAAACGAAGGTTTCAGCTTATCCCAGATAGGACTTACATCGTTAAGAAAACTACGCCAACCGCTTCATCAACCAGTATTGGGTCTGCATTAGAAAAAAACTCTCAAGCTGAAAACAACTCTAATAAATCTGCAGCTCGACCAAAATCAGCCCTGAAAAAATCAGAGGCAGACACCACAGATATATCAGTTGTTATGACGACCATAAAACCAGTTACAAACACTGCCAGGCCCACTATTTCAAATTTTCAGGCCTACAACACTCGGGTAGAAACGATTGACAGGCCCAAGAGCACAACAACCATTAGACCCAAATCTAGCTTGATTCGGAAGACTCATCAGCCAGTCCCGCCAGATAAGATAACCCGGCCCAAGTCTTGTTGGAGTGATCAGCGGGGCTCATCTAGCACTGAAAAGCGTGTCACAAGTTCTACTGTGTCAGGGAGGTTTGGAAATGTCAGCAGTAAAATAGACACGGGTCGGGGGGAGCCCCACTTACTGCCTAGGGAGTCCAAACACAGACCGTCTAGGAACGGTTCTCCCTGGCAAACGGTTAATGTGAGGACTACTCGCAGTTATGTAGCTAGAAGTAGCAAATTCTAATGGTACAGTTCACATTTAAAGTTTCAGATATGTTATTGTTTTCATAGTTTGAACATTCCCTGAGTGACATGAAACGAGAAAAATTATCCAAGGAGTTAATTTTTAATTGAATTGTGTTATCGTTATAATTTTTGTATTTTATCAAATACAGTTAAAGGTTCTAAATGAAAATGAAACGTTGCTCGGTATCACACTATTCTCAAAGGTTGAAAATCTAGAAGATAATGTATTTGTCATTACTGAATCCTTCCATACAGTTCCCTATATTTAGGGGGTCTTGATGAAAATTCGCCCGAAATTGAGCTTACAGCTGTTTCTGATGGAAGGGAGTGATATATATCACTATCAGCTGCTTTTAATCCTATGGCAAAAAATAGTCCAAAATTAGTTCCTATGTGTAATTGTATCGCTCAAAGTATTTTCGATCGCGTGCTCTGGAAGTCTAACTTCTAAAAATCTATCTTTTCCTACATTTGTTTAGTAATCACCCTTAAACTTTCAGGATTTATTTGACTTTCTAGCTTTGAAAATCTTGGTAATCGTCAAAAAACAAGGTCCAAGGTTTTCAAAATCAAATAAGCAATTTTTAAATGCCTATCTCAAAATTCTGTCCAAAAGGCCGTAAAGGCATTCGACTCAGCAAAAAACTTTTTAACGGTTTATCTCTCACGGTTTTCGCGGAAACCTGTGTTAAAATTGATGTCGTGGACCGTGGTGTTAGTAAAATGGCAACAGATATTATATATTATAATATGTAGTGACACTTGGGCTATTGAGTGCTGTGGATCATGTTTATATTTTACTGTACTTTATTCCTTTTCATTGTTCATTATTTATTGTGTCGAATTAGTATAACTTAAATGCAGCCACATTAGAAAATAGAACTACAACCTGTTGTACAAGTTAAATTAATAAATAAACACCAAAAATAAGTCTCATTTGATTATTTTACTTACTTTGGTATGGATACTTTGGAGAGATTCGTAGATTCCTCTACTGGGTCATCGAATAGTTCGACCGCCCTTGCAGCATCGCTGCTGCCTTATTCATACTCCAGTCCAGCAAAGAATTTCCATTAGGGCAGCTGTAATTGCTCACAGATGGGTACTGCTCTGGCTGAGACATGGAATGGTGGTATCGATGAAGTGGAGTAGAAAAATGGATCCCCAGGTCATTTGGGCAGCGTTGGTGCACGATTTTCCACATGTGGATGATAATATAACGCTATCTCCTCCATTGCATCGACATTAAATTTAGTGCTTTGAACACCCTAAATCCTTGATGTGAAAGTACGCTGTACTCCTTCAATCTGTTGGATGTCTGAGATTTTACTGGTATTCCACAGAGGGCAGCAGTACTCTAAGTGACTTCGGACAAGTGACTTGTAAAGTGTCAACATTGTGATTCTATTTCAGCATTTGAACGCACTGAGCACCCAGGCTGCAACTTTTCTAGCTCGGGATGCCATAGAACTGACATGATGTGACCACGACATATCAGAAGACACTATAACTCCAAGATCCTTAACTTGATCTGTAGGTGAGAGCATATTACCATCTGACATCTTGTATGTTTGTGTTTGACATACAAAAAGGCAGCTCATATAGACTCTCATTATGATTCCCCCGGTGAACTAGGAGCTCAGATTTATCCTCGTGTAAAACTATGTTATTACGTTTGGCCCAAGCAATTACATGGTCGAGATCTTGCTGAAGAACGATAACACCCTGTTCTGTATATATATGTGCATACGGGTATCATCAGCAAAGATTCTTATAACTGAGCCAGCCACACAAAGCTTTATGCCATTTATGAAGAGTATAAAAAGGAGGGGTCCAAGAATGTAGATTGAACCCTCCTTCTGAAAATTGTGCTGTAAACTGGCGGTCCCCCCTGTACCCCCGGGCCCCCAGCCTTGGTCGACCGACGACCCCATGTCAGAAACTTGATACCCGATCCCCCCCCCCCCCCCCCGTATCAGCCCACATAATTCTTGGAAACTCCTTTATAACGTAGCTTAGGATGTTTTCCGGGTGGTAGCTATTTCCGTGTGTATTAATAATTATGTAGGGGATATCGTATACTGCACACTTATTGAGGGTTATTGAATAGACCCAAATCTTGATCTATATTTTCTTCATTATTGGAAGTGTCCTGACTATTGTGTACCTGTTTATTAAAGCTAACTGGGATACCTTCTCTCTAATCTTAATACAGTCAAAAGATCAAACACGGCTTGTTAGTTGTTCCTAAACAGTAAGCACGCATTGTATCAAGTCTGTGCAGTACAGGTTATCTACATAATGTACAGTGTGTGCACTATGTACAGTGTGTGCACTATGTACAGTGTGTGTACTATGTTCAGCGTGTGCACTATGTACAGTGTGTGCACTATGTACAGTGTGTGCACTATGTACAGTGTGTGCACTATGTTCAGCGTGTGCACTATGTACAGTGTGTGCACTATGTACAGTGTGTGCACTATGTAGATTGTCTATCTGTCTGCGCACATGTTTGTGTAATATATTAGATGTTAACTACTCACGTTAACAAGCTCCAGTATTTATAAGATAGCAGTATAAGAATGCATGTGTGTGTACTTACCTAACTGTGTACTGTGTACTGTGTACTGTGTACTGTGCAGCTCTAGAGAAATAAGAATGATAACAACTAACTGTGTACTGTGTACTGTGTACTGTGTACTGTGTACTGTTTACTGTTTACTGTGTACTGTGTACTGTGCACTGTGTACTGTGTACTGTGCAGCTCTAGAGAAATAAGAATGATAACATAGATACACACTACACAGCACCTACTATCTAATATATAATATCTACAGCTATTGGTACTGTGGACTAATTCTTCGAGTTCGGTTGACCTTGCCGTAAACATACATTTAAAGGAGTTTGAGAAGCGATAATTTTCTAATTGCTTATCTGAAAGCTTGTAAACGATTATAGCACACAATCCTAAAATCGACACACATCTGACGACTCTCAAGCCTCTTCAGATCATGCCCGGTCGATCGCCAAATCTACTGGATTGGAACAGTTTGGGCGGTTACATCTTTACATTTTACCTCCAAAACGTACAAGTGGTTACAACTGTATTTCTGAGAATGATTGAGAAGAAGTAAAACTGATGAGCTGTGTTTAAATGTGAAACATACACTCAACACAGTATGTAGAATGCAATTTTATTCAATTATCGTTACATAATAATATTAGAGCTTGCATGGTGTTATATTTGTAGACGGCAAACTATTTTGGCACGTTTGTGGCTCACAATAAATATCCTTGTGTGTACATCTAAATATAGAGCGATTTTCCGTAATCAGTTCAATTAACCAAATTACGCGGTGCTAAAAATAACACCGCACTGGTTAGAAAATGACGACTTTTTAAAAGAAATTACCTCCCTCCCCTCTACTCAGTGAATACGTAATATTATGTGAACGACCTCTTACTTTACAACTAAAAATATGAAACTGTTCACCTCCTTTGGGTACCCGACTCTATTACAAAGCAGAATGAAGAGACGTTATTGCATGAGATTGATGACAAACTACTCAAATTCCTACGTTATTATGCGTTCAGTATGGACTATACATTACATATAAAACTCTTACGCTTTTTCTATTTACTTTTTCAGTTCGGTATTAACCTACTTGGAGGACTGTGTTTATGATCTAACTGATTAGACATTGATTATTTGATTGACATGCTGGTCACCGTTAACATTGAATAATACAACATTGTGTAATATAACAGCATAGGATTTAAAGGTGTATGACGTGAGAGGTGATCAAATGAAACGTTGTGTGATTCATAAACGTAAGGCGCCAAATACATACCAGTGTAAAAAGTGAAGTAAATTTCGCGTAGTAGATGAATGCCACGCGCGCGCGTTTAAATTGGTAATTCTGGGATTCCGAATTACACATACATACATGTTACATGGCGAGATCTCCATCCAAAAGGATTAGTCTGCGTCGACTGCGTCATTACTTTGTATTATACAACTTCGGCGGGTAACATTTCTCCATCCCTTTCGGAATTCGGTCTGCAGCTAATCTTCTCATACAATCAATCGTGAGCCCATTACGATCCAATCTCTGCTCAGCATCCTCAATGAATACATCATTTAAGCTCTTCCTAGGCCTGCCTCTTGATCTCTTCCCATGCTTGGGTTTCCATTCAAGTAAATAGTTGGGCAACCGATCTTCAGGCATTCTACTGAGTACTGACATGTCCAAACCAACGCAGCCGTTTTGTTGTTATTATGTCAGCAAGGGCAGTTATTGATGCCCTTCTTAAAACATCCTCATTACTTACTCGATGGAACCACCTCACTCTCAGGATTCTTCTTAAGCAGTACTGATGGAAAGACTCCAATCTTCTTGTCTGCACTTGAGTCGTGTTCCATATCTCACATCCATAGGTCAGAATGGTAAGAACACGACAAGTGTTAGTGAAACAAATTTTTTTCAACGTGACTTTTAACCTGTTCTCTAGCTGGCCCTGAACGACCATCCGAAACCCTTACCCTCTAATCTGATCCTAACTCAATCCCTAACATAAGCACATGCTGAAACTCTTAACGAGAAATTACACCAACTTCCTTACACGGTCATATCACGAGACTCGACAAGGGAGCATTTTAGCCATATGTCATGGAGGTGATTCGGAATCAGCGTCCGAAAATAGAAAATTCATCGATCCAAGCTTGGTTTCAACTGCATCGGAAGCCCCGCTGTGCGCGCCATCTGGGGGGGGGGGGGGGGGGGTGGGTGGGACAATTTCGAGCGTGCTCAATCACTCTACAGTCGATCTTCGAGATTGATTTATAGGGCCACCAACTTGAATCGATGTATTTTCGGACGCTGATTCCGAATCACCTCCATGACATAAGGTTAAAATGCTCCCTACCCTTGTCGAGTCTCGTGATATGACCTTGTATCACGTTGCGACCCCCACTTTATCGTCCTGACGATACAGGGGGAGCCGCGCACGAAGTGCGCGGCGGGTCATACAACGTATGACAAATATGACCGTGTAAGGAAGTTTGTATAATTTCTCGTTAAGAGTTTCAGCATGTGCTTTTGTTAGGGATTGAGATATATTACGATTGGGTTATATTACGATTGAGTTATATTACGATTGAGTCATATTAGGATCAGATTAGAGGGTAAGGGTTTCGGATAATCGTTCAGGGCCAGCTAGAGGCTGGCCCTGACGGCCGCATAAGAAAGTTAGTCTAATTTCTCGTTAGGATTAGGGTTCAGCAATATGCTTTTGTTAAGGTTAGGGTTAGGGTTTCGAATAGTCGTTCAGGACCAGCTAGAGAACGGGTTGAAAAAGTCACGTGACAGTCGAGTGTAGAGTGATTAATCATCATCCCAAATCTTCCTAAGCCTACGACTAGTAAGACTAGAAACGTTCACCGCTCACTAAGCTAGATTATCTCTCCTTGATTTGGCTAGAGTAACCTACTGTTGATATAGTTTCAAGTCAGTCCTCCGTCCAGATCAAGTCGCCTTTGGGACCAGCCAGTCCACGTCAAGACCAAACCAAGACCTAAACCTTTTGTTTTCTTCTCTACAAGTACAACACTATCAAATGTCAAAGCAATCATCATCAATTAATACTAATAGTTTTTAATTTGTAAGCTTTATATACCATATTGCATATTATATTACTTATAGTTATAAATGGCTACAGCTAACACTATTAATGCTAAGTACCAAACAACAAGTGGGAGGTGGATCGTTGGTATACCATTAAATCGATTTAACACCGCAATTCCAGTCGCAAGCCTGGGACCACTACTAGCATAGTCACAACATCTACAAAGCTGCCATATAACCTGACTGACAATTTTCTCGACTGACTGACAATGTTTCTTCTTTTTCCCCATTTAGAATACAAAGATTAGTACATTTTAGCTTATGATTAATATTATATTTTTACCTATAGTTTACCTAGATTAATAATACCATATAGTTAATAATGAAAATAATTTCTGTGGGTGTAGTAACTGTCACCAAGATGTAAATCAGATCGAATCGAGACGCCGTTCGATCTAATTTCTCGTTCGATCTAATTTCTCGTTCGATCTAATTTCTCGTTCGATCTAATTTCTCGTTCGATCTGATTTACATCTTGGTGACAGGTATCAATTATTATTTAATAGGATCATACACTGTAACACAAAAATAATAAACAAATTAATACATTAATGCAGTAATTTGTACCGCGATACAAATTTAAAACTGAAGAACCATAAATTAGTATAGTATTAGTATAGCCCTCCGTGTTCGATAAATCTGACAGGTCTATATAGTGATCAAATATTTATATCGCGCGCAAGGCTTGTTGCACTATATACAATATAATATTATTATTATGTTTTTCAATTTTCATATCGAAAGATAGTTTCTATTTCCGCCAACAACTTATTTTACTGGGTTGCGCTCAGCCTGTGACTCCGCTATATTTGTGTTTTCTGTCGTAGAAATTTTCCTATTTCCTGGGGCTCTGCTTCCCATACGTAGACCTTTTTTTGAACCAAGTCGTTTCAATGAGAATCTTCGACCAATTGAGTTACTCATTGTGGTGTTTTCTGTATTCGACTTCTAAAAATGAAAGTGGGTCAAACTCAATGGTTGTTGACATTGACAAATGATACTCGTCTAAATTTCTTCGAGTTGGAATTAAACATTAAATGTCTATACTTGTTTTTGTGAACATGCAAGTTAAGAAACTTTCAATTATTGGAAACTTTCCAAAAAAGTTACAATTTCGTTTTTATGCGCTGTACTGGGGGGTTTCAAAGTTGTGAAGATCTTTCGGTTAAGAGGGACAAGTTCAAATTCGTTAAGCTCAATGATACAACGATTGCATGGCTTGTAAAATAGAAAGGTTGATTGCTCCTTGTATTGCTCCTTGTATTGGTTAAAAGTACGAGCGCGAGAACCGGTAGACCAAATCAGCACTCTCTGATATATGAAAATGTCATTTAATGTTTAAAATCCGGTCATTCTTTTTTCATCACCCTGTAATATGATAAGTCATATAATCTAAAAATGACGCGGAACAGGTTCGTTAATTTCGTTAGTAAAATCGATCAGGTAAACTGAATCATGTGATGGTGTGATCACTATTATTCCAAAAAATGGTGACATCAGCATATTATGCTCGAACAACAGGGGCATTACACTCCGCTCCACAACTTCTAAACTTTTTCAAATGGTAGTTATACTTGCCAGGCTCGGGGAAGGTTTGGACTTTGGAAGCTGCCATGCGTGAGAATCAGTGTGGCTTTGGGGAAAAATGAGGGTCGTACGGGCTTTCTTTGACGGTACTGTGAGTGCGGTTTGGCATGACGGTGAGCTTTCGAGGTGGTTTGATGTACTCAGTGAAACTGGACAGGGAGATATCCAGGGGCCACCCATCTTCAATGTTTGTCTGAACTGGGCTGCTCAATCGGCAATGGAGAGGCTCAAGATCATTTCGAAAGGTCTGATGCTTTGTGAAGCATTTGGGGAGCTAAAGGAGGATGACATGGCCTGGCGGTCCTTTACGGGACAAAGGATGGTCTCAAGAATCTACAGATCTCTTGTCCCAGCATGTTGCATATGCTGGCTTGAAAATCAACAATGGCAAGACAAAGACCATGGCCGCTTCGAAGCAACTCAACAATCATACACAGATGCGTGCACTCTCAACATCAAGGTCGATGATGTCACTGTGGAGTGTGGATCAAGTCAGTCATTTTACTTACTTGGGAGCTGTAATATCTGCTGATGGAAACCTGGATAAATATCTGGATAGTAGGATTGGCAAGGCAGCGGGCACCTTAAACACCTTGTCCCGTGTCTGGAACAACCGTAACATCCTGACACCGACAAAGATCAGAATCTAGAGAGCTGCTGTGCTAACAGTATTACTCTGCGGAAGTGAGACATGGCCGACCATCAAAAGCCCTGTGCACCGTGTAGAGGTGTTCCATAAGTGGTGTCAGAGGAGAATTCTATGGATCAAGTGGTTCATGAAGACTTCTTTTGATTGGTCGGCGTCGACAGTAAGCCTTCCTTACGGTGGCTTTCACAACGCGTCCCCATTCTCCAACTCCTGCTGCTGGAGAGAGAGACTCCCAAATTATATACCATAAATATATTAAACATAGATATCGACAACAGACTCCGAGAGTCTTGAAGTTCTGTTACCACCGCCTCGGCGCCTCTGGTGCAACCCCGCCGGGTTAACGACAGAGAGACAGGGACTTCCAGGGGAGGTCATGGCCTGCAACGTGCAACTCGTAGGAGTATGCAATATGCTCCTGTAACGTCACTGTAGACCGCTCCTCTTTCCTTTTTTTTGAGTGGCCAATCCAAAACCAAATCCTGGAGTTACTGCAAGAACCATGGAAGCCTGTGAGCGTGTAGACCGCTCCTCTATCGTTGTTTTGAGTGCCCGATCCAAAACCAAATCCTAGGGTACACGAGACGTGGTAGCCTGTGTGAGCATGTTAGAGTCTGTTAAGTGTTAGAGTCCTAGGGTTACACGAGACGTGGTAGCCTGTGAGCGTTTTAAATCCTGGGGTTACACGAGACATGGTAGCCTGTGAGCGTGTAGACCGCTCCTCTATCGTTGTTTTGAGTGTCCGATCCAAAACCAACTCTTAGGGTACACGAGACGTGAAAGCCTGTGAGCGTGTTAGAGTCTGTTAAGTGTTAGAGTCCTAGGGTTACACGAGACGTGGTAGCCTGTGAGCGTGTTAAATCTTGGGGTTACACGAGACGTGGTAGCCTGTGAACGTGTCAAATCCTGGGGTTACACGAGACATGGTAGCCTGTGAGCGTGTAGACCGCTCCTCTATCGTTGTTTTGAGTGTCCGATCCAAAACCAACTCTTAGGGTACACGAGACGTGGAAGCCTGTGAGCGTGTTAGAGTCTGTTAAGTGTTAGAGTCCTAGGGTTACACAAGACGTGCGGTAGCCTGTGAGGGTTTTAAATCCTGGGGTTACACGAGACATGGTAACCTGTGAGCGTTTAGACCGCTCCTCTATTGTTGTTTTGAGGTTGCAATTTCAGCAGGAGATAGGAAAGAGTGGAGGACATTTTCCAGACTGAGACAACGGATACCAGAGGCTGGCCACTCGGATGATTGAGGAGACCGTTACAAGTACACGTAATGCGTAAGTAGTGATACGAAACCACAATTGCTCTTCCTGCACGATTCAAATACGGCGGATCATCAATTCAATCATTCGATCTCCCGATATGAGCAAATTATTTTTGTTTCATATCTCGGTCATTTGTGCAGTTAGCTGCTAGCGCTATGAGATGAATGTCATTCCAACTTTATTTGATGTTTTCCCAACGTATGTATTTTGACTTTCGCCCCCCTCCGGCCCATTCCCCTGTATTTCTGTACAATGAGGCTGTTTTACCCCTAGCTTATCATCAGTTAGATATTTGGTCCTCCTGGTGAATTTGAGTCTACCATCCTTCCTGACCAACTTTCTCTTCCGTTTCAAGATGGAGGGTCTTCTAAACTTAATGTTGTTCATTTTCAGATATGCTCCAAACTTTGTTCCTGTAATTTAACTTATTTAAATATTTTACATCGGTTAAATCGCAAAACCCTCTTCAATTATATAAAAGTTTAGATAACAAAGCTTTAAAAATTAGGAGGTACCAATGTTTGCATCTAGAGATGTTTATAATTATAAAGCAGGACAAAGTCAAACGTGAACTAAGTACTAACCTTTAATAAATTCTAACTTGAAAGCTCCTCTGCTACTGAGATTTTCCAAGAAACTAAGTGATAGTCTCTTTCTGAGATCGTAAGTGTGTTTCCACATTTGAATCATGTTTATTAATCCAAGTAACTGCTGCGATATCTCCTGCAGTGTAGTTTATCAAGTCGGACTTTAATAATTAAAAACCGCGAGTCTTATAACGTAGATTTATTATTCACTAGGTCTCCATTAGAAATGATGAATCAATTTTCTATACATCTGATTATTTGATTATTTTTATTCACAATCGTGCTACATAGAAAACTCATGATTTATTTTGACTGAAAGTTAGTACCCTGATGTAGAATAGAATGAGGGCATTGTATTCGTTGTGTAGAATGTCCGATTCTGGCTTGTTTCCCTAAATTATTAATTAGTATGGTTAATAATAGTCACTTAATCATAATGTGACTATTATAACTCAGTGACTTGAAACCGCTCGCAGTTTTAAATCAGGTTTGCGCCAGGGCTAGGTTATGGTTGTCGAGATGACGTGACAATTTGAATTATTCAACAGGCTTTTCTATTCTTGAATTTGTGACCAAAATTTATACTGACAAGATAACAAATTTGTTAGTATAATGCAGTAGCTAGTAATGTAGTAGCTAGTAATAAAGGAAATGCTATCAATTATAAAATAAACAGTGATTATAATGTATGCGACTTATCAGTTATGATTGAGAAACACTGACAGACGAACAGACAGAGGAAAAGACAGATGAACATACAGACGAAAAGATAGACGAACAGACAGACGAAAAGACAGACGAACTAACAGACGAACAGACAGACGAACAGACAGACGAACAGACAGACGAACAGACGGACGAAAAGACAGACGAGCAGACAGACGAACAGACGGACGAAAAGACAGACGAACTTACAGACGAACAGACAGACGAACAGACAGACGAACAGACGGACGAAAAGACAGACGAGCAGACAGACGAACAGACATACGAACAGACAGACGAACAGACAGACGAACAGACAGACGAACAGACAGACGAACAGACGGACGAACATACAGACGAACAGACAGACGAACAGACATACGAACAGACAGACGAACAGACGGACGAAAAGACAGACGAGCAGACAGACGAACAGACATACGAACAGACAGACGAACAGACAGACGAACAGACAGACGAACAGACGGACGAAAAGACAGACGAGCAGACAGACGAACAGACAGACGAACAGACAGACGAACAGACAGACGAACAGACAGACGAACAGACAGACGAACAGACGGACGAAAAGACAGACGAACTTACAGACGAACAGACAGACGAACAGACAGACGAACATACAGACGAACAGACAGACGAACAGACATACGAACATACAGACGAACAGACAGACGAACAGACAGACGAACAGACAGACGAAAATACAGACGAACACACATATGAACAGACATACGAACTTACAGACAGCTCACCGTTATATGGTAGAAGATGTAGGCACAGTAGTAGGTAACGCTGAGTGATAGCACTAAAATATAGACTGTTGAGAGGCGAAGAAAGAAGAAAGTTTCTTTATTGTGCATACTCTCTGATGAGGTCAAGTTCCTTTCCTGAAAATACGTGAACCATATAATATGTAGAAATACCTCAAAAAGGAGGATACAAACAGAATAGTGAAGACTTTATCTTAAAGAAAACACTTTTCTATTAGTCTATGTAATAAGCGCCATGAGTTGACACAGAAGTTTTTGTCTCCGATTTTGATAAATTTGGTACCAAAAGTTGCCTTTAAGTATGAATAATGTAAATTCACCGTGCAGCACGATAAGGTCGAGCTGTATGTGGGCCTCCTCTGTCAAAAATTCACGCCCTTGTGTTCAGGTTAATAAATTTTGAAAAAAATGTTTCTTTAAATCTTAACATATTGGTACCAAATTACAATGGTAATGTCTGACCCAATATAAAAAGTAAATTTACCCAAAAGTCAAAAAGTATATATACAATTACAAGTAGAGAATGAGAATAAAAGAGAAATAAAGAGAATGAGAATAAAATTGAAACCACTATATAATAATAAACAAAGAAATAATCCCCGCAAATCTTCAGAATGAGATTTAATTTTTTTAAATCAAATGAACTCTTCTTAAAGAGTTTCGAGTCTTACATTAGGCAATATTGTTATTGTTAGGAATTTGTTTAGAGGATGCTTTATGTGATGAGAAGAGCAATGATTTACTTTGTGAGGACAAACAGTGACGGAAATCTTCATAGAGAGGGCAAGTGCGCAATACATGAAGCTCATCTTCGATGATTGGATCAGGGAAAGGAAGCTCTAGAAGAAGGTTGAGTGACTCCTCATCTGTAGTAGAACAGTGTTTGCCTACCCTATCCGAAAGTTTATGGCGATTCATGCCGTGTCTTCCTGTTTCGATGTTGTATTGATGCGAGCTTGTTCTGAGTTGCGCAAGTCCCCTAGTCTGCTGTGGCCGTAGGTTGATCGACAGGTATGTTTCGCAACCGAAGCTTGCCTTGATGAGGTTGTAAAATGTAGAATCCCAATTTTTTATTATTATTATTTTATTCACATTTTTAAACAACTTTTGGTACCAAATTTATCAAAATTGGAGGAAAAGAATTCTGTGCCAAGTCATGGCGCATATTATATAGACTAAATAGTAGTTTGTAGTTCGGGAAAGTACTAGTTTGAGAAAGCTTTGGTAATGGTAAATGTGGGGTCTACCTTCATCATATAAGCGCCAATAGTGATGTTGGCTAGGAGGTACATAACGATCAGTATCTGCTGAGGTACAAACGCGCTCAGTAGCGTGTAGGATCCAGCTGCAATCAGGATACCTTTGCTGGAATCGTCACTCAAATGTCCGGCTAGGGGAGTTGGTGAAGTATTGGGTAGAGTGGACCGCTCGGTAAAACTGGTGACTGATTTAATTCTCGGTATCATTTTGCGTTTGGGTACGGTAACCGGGTAACGGTAATTTAAATTGATATAATTTCTTTTTGTGTGGAAAAAGTGTCCAGTGTCCACTCTACCCAATTTTAAAAATCAAATTGTAAAACATTGGGAAGTGAGGTAATTTCTTCGATTTCAAAATTTGATCTTTTTTAACATTTCCTTATGTTTGAGTCAGCATATCTCTCGCGAACACACACACGCACACATCCACGGATTTTTCGCTAATATTAAATAAATATATCATGAAAATATAAATAAAAACAGTTATTGTTAATCCTCTTCCCGATACTAGGTTTAGTTAGTTTTAATTCCACTCACCAACATTGACTTTATTTCTGACGTACTTCTTAATTATCAAAGCGTAGGCGGTCAGCAGGAAGATGACGGCAAGGATCTTTACCAAAGCAATACAGATAAGGTGCACCGTGGCGTACTCATCGTCCTTTAAGTTACTTAGTCAGAGAGTTGGATATTATTTTATGATAAGTGTTAGATTCGACATTTTATTCATCTTCTGTGAATTACTCAAAAATAATTCGAGGGCTTAATTAAAGATACAAAACTAATTATCATAGCAGAGCTATTAATGAGCGAGGTGTGACTTCTGAAGGAGCGGATGTTTGTTTGTAACATTTTGTTCGGCAATCTGGGTGAGTAGTAGTAAAATACTGGATTACTCACGGATGTACTGGTGCAGACCCCCACATTGTTAGAGTACTCCTTTGTCACTACAAATATCTCCGCTATAACACCGATCAAGGCTCCCACGGTTCCCAGAGTGATCAGCTTCCACACTACTCCATATCTGAAGTGTTTGGTCATGCGAGGGATCATTGTGAAGTCAATACATTTACTCACGTATAGGAGTTTTACTCCATCATCATTTGTTTTAGGTAGTATCGAAGAAGTCAAAAAGGTTTTATTGGCACGCAACAGCGATTAAACAATCGGCTAATTCGATCACAGCATCACTGTCACGTGTTGTAGGTATCACTCGTTCTTGTCACGTGTTGTAGGTATCACCCGTTCTTGTCACGTGTTGTAGGTATCACTCTTTCTTAGCATTTTACCTATTGTAGAACCATTAAGAATTTAACTTAATTCCTAACTACCTGTTTCATCTTCCTTGTCTCTTTCAACCGGCCGGATATTATCCAACTGTCAGTATTTCATCATGAGACTAACAAACAGCGAGCTACTCCAACATTTGGTAGATTTTGTGGTTTGAGCGTTAGTGAAAATTAGTTTTACTCATTTTTCTCCTAAAGTAAGACGTAGCACTAAGATGAATACACAGTACCTAGAATCTAGATTGTACCGAGCATATTCCCGTATTCCGGTCATTTTAAGCCCAAGTTCAAGTCTCTAAGTCCATCACTCTTAAGAAGTTAGTTGAAAATTTCCCTCACGCGCCTAACATAAAATATGGGCGTGGTCCCCCAGGGCTGGGACTTGCAACTCAACATGCGGTCCTATCGTTTAGGGTTGAATAGGTTACCAATAACCTATTCAACCCGATTCAGCAGCAAAAAACTCTATACATCGAGGTGTACACTGAACTATCCATGCTACTAGAGTAATTTACCTGAAATAAGGGAAACTTACCTGAAATAAGGAAAGTTTACCTGAAATAAGTAAAGTTTACCTGAAATAAGGAAAGTTTACCTGAAATAAGGAAAGTTTACCTGAAATAAGGAAAGTTTACCTGAAATAAGGAAAGTTTACCTGAAATAAGGAAAGTTTACCTGAAATAAGGAACGTTTACCTGAAATAAGGAAAGTTTACCTGAAATAAGGAAAGTTTACCTGAAATAAGGAAAGTTTACCTGAAATAAGGAAAGTTTACCTGAAATATGGAAAGTGTACCTGAAATAAGGAAAGTTTACCTGAAATAACGGAAGTACTCCAGGGGAGCGTAGGTTGAAATTATCCTACCACACATCCCGACTACGTAGCAACAAACCTGTCGGGCATGTTTTGTGTTACAAATAGGAATATAACTTAGATTACCCATACCAAAAACGGCAGAGGCTATTTATTGATATCATAAGGTTAGCGTAGGACCAAGTCCAGTCTAAAAAGAATTTCTGGGATGCGACCCTCGTTCAACTAGAAATTGTGTCTTATACCTGGGGTACTTGCGAACAAATAACGGTTCGATAAAATATAATCTACAATAATAATCCCAAAAAATATGTGTGTGTGTGTTTGTAATTTACGAACGACTTAATCACGACAACGGTTAAGTTATTTGTTCCTATTTTTTAAATTTAATTTTATCGGAGTATTAACCTTATCTTATCTTTATTAGGTACTTATCAATGAAACAAGAAATTTCAATGAAACAAGAAATTTAATTTTAGCACATTTTACAGAATAAAAAGATGTAAAACAATTCATAAAATATAATGCCCATTTGGTGTATGGACGAAAATATTCTACCGATGTTATAAAGATTTTGTTGGAATTTTTGAAACTCATTCGTTGTTTGATTGCGGGAAATACCGATCTTGGAAAGTAAATGTAGCTGGATAATGATGAACCTACGAACTATTGGTTGTTACCTGGATGAAGGCATTAAATTGATGTTGGTGAAACAACTGGTTATATTTAAGTTAGATTACTGTAATTCTTTGTACATGAATCTACCCAAGACCAGATCAAACAAACTTAGGTCCATCCTGAATGGGCCCATTCCGTGGTTCCCTTCTATAAGAAGTCCCACATACCCTCTATAGACCAGCGAATCTTCTTTAAAGTCTGTCTATTAACCCACAAATCAGTTCACGGTACTGCACCTGGTTACCTCAAAGCATTACTGGATGTGGATGTAGTGAATACAAAACTTTCAAGCACCGTGACCAGGTCGAAGAGACCGTGTGACCATCTCATGCTCAAGATACCAACGAATAAAAAGTCCAAAGTTGATGACAGACGTTTCTCAAGCCATGCACCGGTTGCATGGAACTCTCTTCCACTGATGTTGAGATGTATTACTGATACTACATGTTTCAAGCGAATGTTAAAGAACCATTTATATAATCAGTTTTGATATCTTTTTATTTTCTATTTGTCTTCACTTTGCAAGACACCTTGGCTTTAATTTTTTACCGCACTCCATTTTATCTCTTGATCTCTAACTTTTTAGGATCTGTTTCTTTTCGGTTGATTATGTCACTGTACTAACCTTTATTATATACCTACATGTATTGTATGGTTTCTGCTTCTACTTAGTTGAGTGTGGTTTACAATACACTCTGCGCCCTTACCATGACATCACCTACTACGGTCTAACACTTTATTGCAAACTTTAATAAACCAAACCATGATAGAGCGAGGTAAATCGCTGGAGATGGTTTGTAGAACACACAAGACTTTCTGGTATGTTTCCGAGCTAGCGCTGTTGGAACTGGCGAGGTAGCTGGAGCTGAACAAACCTGATAAATAATGAGGTACCAATTTATTGAACTGTAGTAACCTAACTGTACCAATTTACTCTACTTTTACCCCTTTACTAGTTTTATCATACATCTCAAAATATTA